AGTAATACCGCAAAAGCTGAAACTTTGTCGACAAGTTAATTATGTTATGACTTTAGAGTCATCTCGGAGAATCATTACGGAATGCAAAGAAAAGATTTGATTAAATAAACATTCCGATTTACGACTCTCTGAAGGTAGGTCCAAATGTNAATTCTTTAATTAGTAGGTTGGCGTCCAAATTAAAATCTTTAATACTCATATTTCTCGTTTCTCCCCGAAAACTAAAGACCGATTTGGCAAGAGTCGAGATATCATAACACCAGAAAAAACAAAAGCGGACTACGACCCAGCTGCACTCCGCCCAATGAGCTGCCGTAAGCCCCTTCAGCTATTCACAAAGAAATATTAGAGCTGTTGGTGTAACAAAGACAGCCCTACTAGTTAGGCAACCTAACTTTATATCTCTACTGACGATTGACCGAGTTAGTTACTGTTGTGTCAGTAGTAATATTGTGCATATTCCATCCTTGAACGTTGTAAAACTATATTATACAGTCCACTGGTTTAATATTTTAATGTTCATCATTAGTATATCACAAGTTAATATTAAAGTCTTAAACCCGAAATAAAGTGTATTAATCCTGGGTGCCAACCCGGGCATTCGAAGAGAATTTCCCGAAACATAATAATCCTGATCGGGATACAATCAGAAAACGGTGTGTGGAAAGCAACAAGTGTCTTCTCCACAGCGCACAGCAGGCAAACATGAAATCCTCCAATAATACTGCAGCAGTCTTCACGAGGAAGCCGGCATTTCAACGGATGGAATCCAGCGAGCACAAGGCCCAGTTAGACGAGCCAGGTCAAATACTCCATAACCTCTATAGCTCTCGCCACCAAAGCATACCCATAATCCCTTCTCGTTTCAAAGCAGCTCAATTTAACTGGTTCAGCAATTTTAGCTTATTAATTCCTTGTTTCACATTAAAATAAAGTAAAATCTTAAGTAGACAACATCATTAACTAATAACTAATAATATTTACATTTAATAAATATATAAATCATAACATAACATAATATATAAATCACACATTTTTCTCATTTTTATCAGGTACGTAAGTAGTCACGTCCAAAAAATATCATTTTTCAGTTTTAACAAAAATGACTGAAGTAAAACGTTTGACAACTTGTCGTGGCATACTCAAAGGACAATTAACTCGTTTCAATATAGCTCGGGAGCCAGCGACCGTTTTGAGTTAGTCATTTGGAAAAAGCTGAAAATTTTTCCTACGCTTCATTTGGTATCACTATTAAGTGAATCGACCTAGCTCGCGCAGTTCTGGGGGGTGCAGCAGCCTCCCACGCATGTAAAATAATAAAATAAACAAAGTAATACCGCAAAAGCTGAAACTTTGTCGACAAGTTAATTATGTTATGACTTTAGAGTCATCTCGGAGAATCATTACGGAATGCAAAGAAAAGATTTGATTAAATAAACATTCCGATTTACGACTCTCTGAAGGTAGGTCCAAATGTTCAAAATGATCTATTTTCCATTTTGATAAAGTTCCGCGAGCACAACGTCGTAATGATTGCAGACATCGCGAAGATGTACAGACAAGTACTCGTTGACCCTTGTCAACGAAACCTACAGCTACGGCGCGAAAATCCCAAATCAGAATTAAATCATTTTCAACTGAACACAGTGACGTATTGCACTGCGTCTGCAGCCTTTTTGGCGACACGATGTCTCAAACAAATTGCAACTGAACATTCTCAAACTTATCCTCTCGAAGGTAACATAATCTCAAACGATTTTGACGTCGATGACTTATGAACAGGGTCAAGCGATGACCAAACTTTATTTTAAATTCAACAGAATCTCGTAAATTTATTAAGCCAATCATGGTTTGAATTGCGAAAATTCAGTTCAAATAGCAACACATTGTTACAAAAAAATATTGAATTTCATTAAAGGTTCACAGTCATAAGATTCAAATTATGTTATTACTGACAGTCAACAAACTACGAAAACCTTAGGTGTTTCTTGGAATCCGAGATCAGATCATTTCGAATATAGCTCAAATTTTATCTTACTAACTCTTATAACTAAGAGAACTATTCTATCATGTACATCACAAATTTTTGACCAGCTTGGCCTATTAGGTCCTATGATCATTCAAGCCAAAATTATTATATTGCAAAAATTATGGCAATTGAATCTCGAATGGGACGAATACATTCCCAGCAACCTCTTTACAACATGGCAACGTTTCCATGAAAAATTAGGCAAGGTCAGTTTAATACTGTTGAAATAAATTTGAAATAATATTAATTTTAGACTAGTGGTTGTTGATTTTGACAGTTGTTATTGTGACATGTATGCGCTTATAATTAAAAGTAATAAAAAGCGTTGCTTTACCTGCTGAATCATTATTTAATTGCAAAAGGTTATGGGCCCAGACCCCACACGCCTTCTGAATTGTTTGGATATATGGTAAAATTAGATATTTCTTCATCATAAGTTCTTGTACACGGAAAAATGTCGTATCAGTTGCCGCCGATTGAAAAGCTCAAGGGCCGTGAAAACTACGACTCATGGAAATTCGCTGTACAGACGTATTTGGAACATGAAGAACTGTGGGATTCAGTGCTAGGTACAGAAACTGACAATAAAAAAATAATTAAAGCCAGGTCGAAAATTATATTACTTGTTGATCCACTAAATTATGTCCATGTCCAAAGTACAAAAACTGTCAAAGAAGCATGGGATAACTTGGAAGCTGCTTTTCAGGATTCAGGCCTTACAAGACGTGTTGGTTTATTGCGTGTTTTAATAACTACTACGTTGGAAAATAGTAATTCTGTAGAAAAATATGTAAATACAATCATTACCACCGCACATAAATTATCAAGTATAGGTCTGACTGTTAGTGATGAATGGATAGGCACTATTTTGTTAGCAGGTCTTCCAGAAAGTTACAATCCAATTATAATGGACATTGAAAGTTCAGGTACTTCAGTGACGGCAGACTCAATCAAAACCAAGTTATTGCAAGACATATCAGTAGTTACGGATCCCGAAAACAAGTCGGTGGCTATGTATGGTGCTGCTAGTTCAAAGTCCATTAAGAACAAGTGGTCTACTCTAAAGAAAAACAAAAAAGGTGTACGTTGTTTTAATTGCAATAGGTATGGACACTGCAAGTCAATGTGAAAAGAAGGACAATATGAATGAGGTCAAAGCAAGTTGACTCCGCATTATTCTCCGTGTTCTCAGTGCAACATAAAAACAATAATTTGTGGTATTTAGACTCTGGTTGTTCAGCACATATGACAGGAAATCGAGATGCACTAGAAACTGAAAGAAAGTCTGCGAAGTTGACTGTCACCACTGCAAATAATGAAGAAATGTATACAAAATCTATTATTGATGTCAAGCTTTCTCTATCAGTTGGAAGTAACAAAATATCAGATATCAAAGTGCACGATGTATATTTTGTCTCAGATTTAAAGGTGAATTTGTTATCTGTTAGCCAAATAGTAAACAAAGGCAACACTATTATTTTCAATTCTGAAGGTGCCAAGATTTATAATTCTGCAAATCAACTTATAGCTACAGCTACTTTAGAAAACAATTTATTTAAATTGGATTTACTTCCAAAGCAAATTAATGTTTCCGCTTGGTTCAGTAATGCAGATAAACAGTGTACTATGTGGCATAAGCGCTTGGCACATGTAAATACAGCTAGTTTAAACAAGTTGAAAAATGGACTTGTATATGGAGTAGACTTTTCAGACAATTTTCAACCGAATTTTGTATGTGAAACTTGTATGCTGGGAAAAAGTCATCGTTTACCATTTCATGCAAGTGAGACTAGATCTTCGCGAGTCTTGGAGCTGGTGCATTCGGATTTATGTGGACCGATGCAAGAGAAATCTCTATCTGGTTCGCAGTATATGCTTACCTTCCTTGACGATTATAGTCATCATACAACCGTCTATTTTTTGAAAAACAATAGTAAAGTTATAGATTATTTTAAGATTTATAAAAGTTTTGTTGAAAATCAAACCGGTCAGAAAATAAAATGTCTACGAACCGACAATGGGGGCGAATATTGTGGAGCCGAACTGAAGAATTTACTCGAGACTGCAGGCATACAACATCAGCTTACCTGTCCATATACCCCTGAGCAAAATGGCAAGGCAGAAAGGCTTAATCGAACGATTATAGAAAAGGCTCGATGTCTTCTAATCGAAGCTTGCCTACCAAATGTTTTTTGGGCAGAAGCTGTATACACATCAGTCTATTTAATTAATCGCTTGCCCAGTAAATCTATAGAGAAAACACCAGAAGAATTATGGAATAATAAGAAACCAACCTTAAAGCATGCTAGAATATTTGGATGTAAAGCATATGCACATATAGATGACCAGAAAAGAAAGAAGTTAGATTCTAAGGCACTTTCTTGTATCTTTGTAGGTTACAGTTTAGAGTCAATGGCATACAGGTTATACGATCCAAACAGAAATATGGTGTTTGTCTCTCGAAACGTTCAATTTGCCGAAAATGAGAAAGGATGTACTCTATTAGAGGAATCAACTCATGAATCAGATAAATATTTTATTGATTTATCTGATCTTATAACAGAAGTTGAAATCCGACAAGATGAACCTATTATGGAAAATAATGATCAGATTGAAAGCAATCAAAATAGAAGAGAGAGTCCAGGTGATTTTACTGAAGAAAATAATGAAATATCCTCGGAAATATCTCATGATAGTGACTCAGATTTTGTCCCAGAAAGAGAAATGACAGCAGAGGTTGCAGTTCCAATGAATAGAGCTCAACGCNATTTCAAAAGTACGTATTTGTTAGTTCATATTTCATTTCAAAATTTAATGTAAAGTTATGTGCGTTTCTAATTAGAAATTTTAGAACTGACCTGGTAATATAATATAGTACCCCCTCGTATCTAAGCCTTCAAAATGGCGACCTCCTTTATTAACAAGTTTGCGCATCTTGACGCTCATTCTCCCTACTCCATATCTCTGGTCAAGCCACTGCTAGAAAACTAAAAAATAATATACTGTTTACTTTAACTGTTGAGGTTACAATTTTTTTATCTATACATTAAAAATATAAACTCAAAATAGTAATTTAAGATGTGGGAATCTTCTAATCGCGAAGAAAAAAAATTCAATGCAGAAACTTACAGTTAGTGCCAGGAAGTGGTTGTTTATTAATTATTAAAAACATTTGTTTTTAGGATTAATTGGTGAAGCCCAATTGCACAAGTTTAATTTTTTTTTAGAAAAATTTGGTAAAACAATTAACACATATAAGAGCCAATTTAAAAATTATTACAATATATCATCAGAACTGATTTTAATTGATGTAAATATTGTACGTAGGTACATTTATTTTTGTATGATGTATTTACTTTTTTAGGGCAATTTTTTTAAAATCAGTTCAGTTTTAAATTTAGTTCATTCAGATAATAAAATTTTAAGTCGAATTTTAGCCAGTTTAGGAGGAATATGTAAGGAAATTCAGTCTTTAGTAAATGAAGCGGAATGGTTTTATAGACAGTTTTTATTTTATAAAAGTAAGTAAATATTTTTTATATAGAATTTATTAACTCAGATAACTGAAATTACTGTAATATGTAAGTTGTAACTGATGTCTTACAAAGCAGTTGTAGTAAAAATCAATTAGAAATTTTTATAGGTAATTTTTTTTTTAAACTTATTTTTTGTACTTAAGTGGTATTTGGATATTTTATTTCTATCAAATTCTCTTTGTTGGGTTAGTCATTTTGGTACTAGTTAGAGCTTGAGCTTTGACACCCTGTAAAGTATAAAATATTTTTTTAAATGGGATATTATTTTCTTTATACTGACACACAAATTTTTTTTTGTCACACTGTAGATGAGTGGTGACTAGAGGATTTGATCCCGGAATCCCAACTGCTTTTCAATCCCAAAATTTTTTAAGTTTTCCTGATCCCGAGTTTTGCGGGATTGACATCATTTTAAAAAAGTTGCAAAATAGACTGCGTAAAGCGAAATGCTCATTGCCAGTGCTCTCAACAGATTTGGTTGCCTATCATTTTAATATAAAATACAAGAAGTTTTATTCCAAGTAAGTAGCACACATGAACCTAGTGGGCTTTCGATGCTTGCGTGGAATAAAACTTATGTATTTTGAACTAAAATGATAGGCAAGCAATTTTCACCTGGTTACTTGGTGATATAATTCATTTTTGTATTTTTGAATTTTCGCGGTCGCTAATCAATTTTCTGCCGCAATTGAGAGCACTGCTCAGTGTATTTTACAGAGCATTTTTAATATTATTTTTAAATACTTTTTGCTAAGAAACTTGCTTTACTACCTACTTACTAGGTGGTAAAGTATTTTGTATGATCTAAGTTTGTATAGAGACTGTTTCAGAGCAACACAAAAACAAGAGTTGTTGTTGAAAAATCAAATAAAAATGATGACATGTTTTTCTAAATTCTATTAATCTATTTGTGTAGTTGTACAACATTCAGGAAATAAAGAAAATTATTCAACTCAGCACAAGAGTTTATACAGTCCACTCTATCGAATAACACTAGGTAATTATATGAAAGTCGTCTATTTAGTTGCTGCTAAGAGAGATTTTTGTTAATTTTCGAAGTTTATTTGCATAGATTGTTACATAAAGGTTTTTTCAATTTATGTAAGCTTAGAGTGTTGAAATAAATTTGAAATAATATTAATTTTAGACTAGTGGTTGTTGAGTTTGACAGTTGTTGTGACATGTATGCGCTTATAATTAAAAATAATATAAAGTGTTGTTTTACCTGCTGAATCATTATTTAATTGCTAACGGTTATGGGCCCAGACCCCACACGCCTTCTGAATTGTTTGGATATATGGTAAAATTAGATATTTCTTCATCATAAGTTCTTGTACACGGAAAAATGTCGTATCAGTTGCCGCCGATTGAAAAGCTCAAGGGCCGTGAAAACTACGACTCATGGAAATTCGCTGTACAGACGTATTTGGAACATGAAGAACTGTGGGATTCAGTGCTAGGTACAGAAACTGACAATAAAAAAATAATTAAAGCCAGGTCGAAAATTATATTACTTGTTGATCCATGTCCAAAGTACAAAAACTGCCAAAGAAGCATGGGATAACTTGGAAGCTGCTTTTCAGGATTCAGGCCTTACAAGACGTGTTGGTTTATTGCGTGTTTTAATAACTACTACGTTGGAAAATAGTAATTCTGTAGAAAAATATGTAAGTAAATACAATCATTACCACCGCACTTAAATTATCAAGTATAGGTCTGACTGTTAGTGATGAATGGATAGGCACGATTTTGTTAGCAGGTCTTCCAGAAAGTTACAAGCCAATGATAATGGGCATTGAAAGTTCAGGTACTTCAGTGACTCGATCAAAACCAAGTTATTGCAAGACATATCAGTAGTTACGGATCCCGAAAACAAGTCAGTGGCTATGTATGGTGCTGCTAGTTCAAAGTCCATTAAGAACAAGTGGTCTACTCTAAAGAAAAACAAAAAAGGTGTACGTTGTTTTAATTGCAATAGGTATGGACACTTTGCAAGTCAATGTGAAAAGAAGGACAATATGGATAAGAGGTCAAAGCAAGTTGACTCCGCATTATTCTCCGTGTTCTCAGTGCAACATAAAAACAATAATTTGTGGTATTTAGACTCTGGTTGTTCAGCTCATATGACAGGAAATCGAGATGCACTAGAAACTGAAAGAAAGTCTGCGAAATTGGCTATCACCACTGCAAATAATAAAGAAATGTATAGAATCTCTTGGTGTTGTCAAGCTTTCTCTGTCAGTTGGAAGTAACAAAATATCAGACATCAAAGTGCACGATGTATATTTTGTCTCAGATTTAAAGGTGAATTTGTTATCTGTTAGCCAAATAGTAAACAAAGGCAACACTATTATTTTCAATTCTGAAGGTGCCAAGATTTATAATTCTGCAAATCAACTTATAGCTACAGCTACTTTAGAAAACAATTTATTTAAATTGGATTTACTTCCAAAGCAAATTAATGTTTCCGCTTGGTTCAGTAATGCAGATAAACAGTGTACTATGTGGCATAAGCGCTTGGCACATGTAAATACAGCTAGTTTAAACAAGTTGAAAAATGGACTTGTATATGGAGTAGACTTTTCAGACAATTTTCAACCGAATTTTGTATGTGAAACTTGTATGCTGGGAAAAAGTCATCGTTTACCATTTCATGCAAGTGAGACTAGATCTTCGCGAGTCTTGGAGCTGGTGCATTCGGATTTATGTGGACCGATGCAAGAGAAATCTCGCAGTATATGCTTACCTTCCTTGACGATTACAGTCATCATACAACCGTCTATTTTTTGAAAAACAAAAGTAAAGTTATAGAATGTTTTAAAATTTATAAAAGTTTTGTTGAAAATCAAACCGGTCAGAAAATAAAATGTATACGAACCGACAATGGGGGCGAATATTGTGGAGCCGACCTGAAGAATTTACTCGAGACTGCAGGTATACATCAGCTTACCTGTCTGTATACCCCTGAGCAAAATGGCAAGGCAGAAAGGCTTAATCGAACGGTTATAGAAAAGGCTCCATGTCTTCTAATCGAAGCTTGCCTACCAAATGTTTTTTGGGCAGAAGCTGTATNTTGGAGCTGGTGCATTCGGATTTATGTGGACCGATGCAAGAGAAATCTCTATCTGGTTCGCAGTATATGCTTACCTTCCTTGACGATTACAGTCATCATACAACCGTCTATTTTTTGAAAAACAAAAGTAAAGTTATAGAATGTTTTAAAATCTATAAAAGTTTTGTTGAAAATCAAACCGGTCAGAAAATAAAATGTCTACGAACCGACAATGGGGGAGAATATTGTGGAGCCGACCTGAAGAATTTACTCGAGACTGCAGGTATACATCAGCTTACCTGTCTGTATACCCCTGAGCGAAATGGCAAGGCAGAAAGGCTTAATCGAACGGTTATAGAAAAGGCTCCATGTCTTCTAATCGAAGCTTGCCTACCAAATGTTTTTTGGGCAGAAGCTGTATACACATCAGTCTATTTAATTAATCGCTTGCCCAGTAAATCTATAGAGAAAACACCAGAAGAATTATGGAATAATAAGAAACCAACCTTAAAGCATGCTAGAATATTTGGATGTAAAGCATATGCACATATAGATGATCAGAAAAGAAAGAAGTTAGATTCTAAGGCACTTTCTTGTATCTTTGTAGGTTACAGTTTAGAGTCAAAGGCATACAAGCTATACGATCCAAACAGAAATATAGTGTTTGTCTCTCGAAATGTTCAATTTACCGAAAATGAGAAAGGATGTACTCTATTAGAGGAATCAACACATGAATCAGATAAACATTTTATTGATTTACCTGACCTTATTACAGAAGTTGAAGTTAGACAACATGAACCTATAATGGAAGATAATGATCCGATTGAAGCAATCAAAATAGAAGTGAGAGTCCAGGTAATTTTACTGAAGACAGCAATGAAATATCCTCGGAAATATCTCATGATAGTGACTCAGATTTTGTCCCAGAAAGAGAAATGCCGGCAGAGGCTGAAGTTCTAATGAATAGAGCTCAGCGCTAAAGAAAACCTCCTTAAGGCAATGCAAAATTATGTATCATATTCAGTCATAACAAAAGCAGATGGTGATCCATTAGATGTTGAAGAAGCACTTAGCAGACAAGATAGGGACAAGTGGCTTCAAGCAATGCAAAACGAGTATGATACTCTCATTAAAAATAGTACTTGGGAATTGGTCGATTTACCACCAGGAAAAAAACATTAAATTGCAAGTTTTTCAAAACCAAATTCCAGAATGAAAATTCGCTTCAGTATAAAGCTTATTTAGTAATAAAAGGATGTGCTCAAAGAAAGGATTTGAATTGAAATTGATTGAGAATTGATTTTGAAGAAACATACTCACCTGTGGTTCGATACAGTACAATAAGGTATTTACTTGCGTTTGCAGCAGAAAATGACCTCGATATTGATCAAATGGATGCAGTTACTGCATTTTTGCAAGGCGAATTGTCAGAAGAGATATATATGATTCCACCAGAATGTTACGACAACACTAACAAGGTTTGTCGTTTAAAGAAGTCATTATTTGGTTTCAATCAACCTAGTCATTTATGGAACCAGAAGTTAGATTCATTTAAAAAAAAATGGTATGTATGGTGGCACATCGTTCAATAAGTCCCGGGACTAACTATGAAAACAACATTTTATCCGCAAAATTCTTTATTATTCATCAACATAATCTCCTTCAAGTGTAATACAATTGACTCAAAATGAGCCTCAGTAGCAGCGATCACCTCCTCATTCGAGCCAAATCTTTTTCATTGGAGCATCTTTTTGAGATCCGCAAAGAGCCAGTAGTCGCTGGGGGCCAGATCCGGCGAGTACGGAGGATGGGGAAGCAGTTGGAAGCCCAATTCGTTGAATTTGGTCATCGTTTTGATTGACTTGTGGCACGGTGCGTTGTCTTGATGAAAGATGACTTTCTTCTTCTTCATGTGTGGGCGTTTTTTCACGATTGCAAAGGTAGCGTCACTTTAACCACTATAGCTTTCTTGGTTATGTTTCGAATTACATCAAATTTTGACACATCTCATCTAAAGGTTGGTACTTCTGAACCTTGGTATATACATTGTATTATTAGCGCCATCTCTACGCTAGTCCCGGGACATATTGAACGATGTGTTATGTACTATAAAGTTTCAGATGAAATAAAATTGATTTTAGCTGTTTATGTAGACGATATAATCATTTTGTCTAACAACAGAGATGCTAAAATAGAATTAAAAGATCAATTAATGAAGAATTTTCAAGTGAAAGACCTTCATCCTGTGAAGAAAATATTTAATTAGGATTTCAAATAACCAGAGATAGAGTTAATAAAAAGATATGGATAGATCAGAAAGATTATTTAGAAAAGGTTTTAAGAAAATTTAATATGGACCAAAGTAATCCAGTGGATACTCCAATGTCTGCAGGTGAAAAGTTATTAAAAGAACAATTACCTATCGGGGACGAACGGAAAAGGAAAATGGAAAATGTTCCATATCAAGAGGCAGTTGGTAGTTTGTTGTTTGCATCACAGATATTGAGACCGGATATATGTTATGCAATTAGCTGTGTTAGTCGCTTCAATCAAAACCCTAGTCCGGCTCACTGGTCTGCAATCAAGCACATTTTTCGATACTTGAAAGGAACAATACATTACCGACTGGAGTTCAGTAGAAAAACAGAAATTGATAATTCAGATATAATTGGTTACTGTGATGCAGATTGGGGAAGCCATCCGAACGATAGGCGTTCAGTTTCGGGTTATATTTTCTTGAAAAATGGCTCTCCAATTTCCTGGAACACTAAGAAACAACCCACAGTGTAGCCTTAAGTACGACCGAAGCAGAATATATGGCTATATCATCTGCCGTACAAGAAGCTATATGGCTCCGAGGCTTAAGCTACGAACTCAGTGCCAACACGAAACCAACTTTATTATATATAGATAATCAGGGTGCTCAGAAATTGGCTTTGAATGGTACTTATCAAGCTCGCACGAAGCATATTGATATACGTCACCATTTTTTTAAGGAGAAATTTGATAATGGAATTATATCAATCAAGTATGTGTCAACTAATTACATGTTGGCAGATTCATTAACGAAGCCATTGGATAAAGTGAAATTCCTGAAGTGCACCAGAGGTCAAGGACTTATTTCAAATAGGGAGTGTTGAAATAAATTTGAAATAATATTAATTTTAGACTAGTGGTTGTTGAGTTTGAGAGTTGTTATTGTTGTGACATGTATGCACTTATAATTAAAAGTAATAAAAAACGTTGCTTTATCTGCTGAATCATTATTTAATTGCAAAATAGAGATTTATTCTTGAAAAAGAATAATTTTAACATAAAGATTGAGCGATTTTAGGTCTGATTAGTCTGACTCTAAGTCTTATTACTAAGAATGATTAAATTAGCTAGATGTATACTCTAAAATTCACTGATTTTTGTCTAAATTTTAATTATGTTCATTTTTGTCTAAATTTTGATTACGTTGATTTTTATCTAAAGTGCCGCGAAATCGAATTCCCTAGCGGTGACATCGTTGATATTTCTTTTAAATGGGATTGTATAATTTTTTTGCTTGTTTTGATTGTTTTTTTATTCTCTTTCCAATCATATAAAATTTTCATGCCTTTGCATAACGAAATTTTTTGACTTTAGTTTACGGTGCTCGTTTTCTAAATCATATCAAATAGAAGGCGCTGGAAAAACAATTTTGCATACTGCTATCTGTCACATATTTGTTTGTCACCTTTCAAGTTTAACATAACAAAATGAATGATTTCAATGAAGAAGTTATGCTGCAGATTTATTATGAATGTAGAAAAAACAGTGTTGCAGCTTTACAATTATATCGACAACGTTCTCCTAATAGAATTTCCCCTAACAGAAGAAAGTTTAGTAAACTTGAAGCAAATCTAAGACACTTAAGGTATAGGAAAAATATGTATGTAACAATATGTGATTGATAGCAGTATGCAAAATTTTTCCAGTGCTTTCTATTTGATATGATCTAGAAAGCGAACACCAAATGCTGAAAGTTTTCTCATTTTTTTTTCAAAAATTTCATTATGCAAAGGCATATAAATTTCATATGGTTGGAAAGATAATAAAAAAAATCTGCAAAAAAATTAATATAACTCCATTTAAAAAAAAATGTGAAAAAATAGTGACGGAAAAAAATTACCTCTATGAAAAAAGTTTTTAAATTCCACTTTTTGTTGTTCTCTACACAGAGTTGGTACAGATTTCAAATAGCCCGTTATACAGTGGTACTATTGCTGTCGTCATTAAAGATATGAAATCAAGTAATTAATTAGTTATTTGTATGTTGCAGATACTGGTAAACTTTCGGATCATCACATATCTGTTAGTAAAATGATCGAATCATTACAAAAAGTTCATTGCTATATTAATCGTGTCCAACATGTGACAGTTTTAACGTTACGACAATTAAGTGCAACATTAGGAAAACGTTTTTATATTACTAGTAATACCTCTAGTTTTCTGGTAAGTGTTTGATTCTGCATTGCAACTATTAGCTACTTTCTATGAGCTTTCACGGTTTTGCATAATTTTGCAAGTTTTCGTATTAGAATGTTAATATTTGTTTGTTATTAACTGTACTTATAGATTTAAAAAGTAAACACAATACAGTAGATAGTAATTTTTTATTTAATATGAGAATTTGAAGTAATATGAACTTACAGCTAAAAAAATATTAATTCCTGTAGTATATATTAAATAAAACAAAAATAAATGTACCTATGTTTAAAGTGACAGCCTCCTGGATAAATTCTATTAAATCTCTCAGAAATAGGATATGCTAAAATAATAACTCCATATATATTCACTTAATCGTTAAAGATTATAAAAATAACAAATGTATATTTCGGAAAAAAGTTGAGAGACAAATCATCCCCTCCTTCGTTTGAGCTTACACAAAAGTTGTGCGGGTGTAAAATAAAAGTTGTGCAACCTTTCAACTGAGTATTTTTAAAAATAATGGAATTAGAAAAAAATCTATTTTACAGAGTCTTCGTTAATGATATGCGAATATTTATGGGTGTAATTCTACATGTAAAATTAATGATAGTTAATGATAGCAGGACAAAAACTCAGGAGAGCACTTATCATTTGAGTTGAACGGGGATTTTAAAAATAATTTTATTTCATCAATCAAATCGAAAATGCTATCCATCTTAAAAAAATGCCTAATATGTTTTTTAAGTTTTGAGGGTCTTTTCTTAACCCTTAATTTGGTAATGTGTACTATAGGATACATAATTTTTAAAAAATCACAAATGCCAGAATAGCACGTATAGCCCTCTGTTATGACTGCTAGGTATTAATATAATCCAATTCCAAAGTTGCAACGCATTTACAGAGTCATCTCTTCTGTGACAGTAAAACTACTCAAGTATTTAATCAAAATGGCCGCAGGCTGTAGCAGTTGGTCAGCACCTCAGGCAAATTTCATCAAATTTTACACTTTTCTGTAATACAGTTTGCATGTTATTGGTCATAACTCTTTAGACAAACACCTTTAATAAGATTCTATACACTTTCTGTAGTTCACACGATGTGTTTTGTGGTGTAAATACTTTGTTATATAATATGTATCCTATAGTGCACATCGCCAAGTTTGCATATTATAGTAGATGTTACTCATAAGATACATCACCAAGTTTGCATAGTGTAGTAGCTGTTATTTATAAGACACATTGCCAAATATTCTTATAGCAATATTTGACTGTAACAACTTTTTAGTGTTTTTCAAAAATACATTTTTAAAGGTATTTGTGAGGGTGTTTGTCTAATAAAAACATAGGCACCATTACAATTAATATATCTCAGGGAACTAAACTCGGCCCTACATTTTCATCCAGAACTGCTAAAATTATTGCACTACTATCACCTGAAAATGGAGCTTCCGATGATGAAGACGTATCTAGCGATGATGACGTCGAAAGCGTATTAAAAATTTATGAAATGGATAATGTAGCACCTGATGCAACATCACTGGAAGATTCATTTAGTTCTGAGGCGCCCTCTTTACCAAATTCAATAAGGGACGTTTTAGAGGATGCTATATATTTTTCATGATGAAGTGTGTTTGAAAGATTTTAGATATGAAATTGCGAAATTGCTGAAAATGAAAGATAGAGTGAAACGAAAAAGGAATTTTGCAGAAACACCACACTCTTCACATCACATAATCAAACGCCCTGTTGCTGCAAGACCACCTAAATGCGGTATGAGGCTGTGCCTGGTGAAGGACCAAAAATAATTTTTTTTAAATTTTGTTTGCAATACGTCACCAAAGATGTTATTTAAATATATTTATATGTATAAAAAGCAAGAATTAAAGTTTATTTTTCTGAATTTTTTAAATGTTTTTATGTATCCAAACTTGGCGATGTATCCTATAGGACACAGCTCATATTTTTTTTCCTTTCCAAAAAAATTTTTTTTTCTAATCCTTTGTTTAATATGGGGCCTAATTTATGCAATTTTATGTTTTTTTTATTTTAATTAGCTTTAACACCATTTTGCCAATTTAAGGGTTAATGATAATAGGCCGTAGAAAAGATCACATGTCAAAAAATATAATATCAAAAAGTAGGCCTTTTTGAGTACTACCACATAAAAAAAAAGAATTTTGTATATCGGCCAACGCCATCCTAAATACGGAGGTGTCCCGACTTTAAGTGAAACACACTATATAAATATTGATTAATTTCCTTCTTTTTCCTAAAATTTTAACACCCCGTTTATAAAGCAAACTATCATTGATTTTCCATCCCTTAAATATATGCATATCATATTACTCGTATGTTGACTAAGAAATTCGTAAATGAAAAATGTTATAAGGGAAAGCCTAATATTTTTATTAAAAGAATCAGTGCTTAACGATTTGAAGTGTATTTTTTTTATAACACCCTAAATAATTTAAAGTCTATTAATATTGAAATAAGCAGTGAATTAGATGTAACGTCAGTCCTGTACGCAATAGAATTTTTAAAAATAAGAGGTTTTTTATATAAATATTTTTTCACAAATTATTTGTTCTTGAGATACAGGATGTTAAAGTTACAAAAAAAAATATTTTTTTATGTTTGCCAAACTGATAGAGCTATATCTAGAAAGAAATTTGGTGCAGATTGTACCTGGATAGGCTGCTGTAATATGCGGCAGTTTCAATTCTTAAGCAGCTAGTGATGAAGTTATTAATGATAGCTTCAAATAATTAAAAAAAAAGTAGTGTTGCAATGTACCAGGTAATACTAAATTAAATATGTTCAATAAAGCTTTTAAACTGAAGTAAAAAAGTCTTGAAATTTTTTCACAGCAATTTCGATTTTTTATTTCTCATGAAATTTATTAGATTTACTACTTTATTATTATATTTATTTATATTAGATTGAAATGAGAGGCTCTATTTAATTGAATCCAGAATTCTATAGTAAATTTAAAGGAATATATCTTCCAACAGAGTGACTAAATCCTCATCAAGAGCGTAAAAATGCTATTGAATTATCTCTCCGGAAAAATAAAATTAATTTAAATTAACTTAACTATTCAATGTGCAATTTTTTTTTCAAAACATGTAAAAAATGACTTACTTTTGACACAAATTTTTAATGTACGTTTGTTGTTTCTAACAACTGCGAAATGTCATAAAAATGTATTTTTAACTTATATTCATTAACAATCGACTAGATCATGTCATTCATTGTAGGAAATATTTAACAATTTGGGAGATCTGTTCATATGCATATTAAAATTAGATAGTTTACTAGAATCCCAAACTCTAAAAGAACATTGGTTTTCGTACAGAAGATTGGTAAAAAATATGTACCATAATCACACGAAGTATGATTTTGAAAGAGAACAGTTGTCATCATTGGATAAGACATTGATGGTCCTTGAAAATGACTTATTAATGGGAGGGATGTTAAAGGTAATGTACTAACTTTTTTACATATATACATTTTCCTCATTTTAAATTCTTTTAAAGGTTTTGTTTTATGTATAAACAGGGTGTTTTGCAAAAGAGCCGATACAGAGCAGGGGCATGTGAACCCAAATTATGGTGATTTAACGGAACTTATCTTTATACTATGTTGCGCCCCTGAGAGGTGGCCTTGAAGGTGGGGTTTCAAATTTCGAAAAAAAATCAATCCTTTAAAATGCCCTCAATTGAACTCTATTTACTGCCGATTAATGCTCTTGGTAGACATGCACCGTGTACCAAATTTGGTTTTTCTAAGTTCAAATATAACTGATATATTGATTTTTTTCCAAATTTCAAATCCCATTTTCAAGACCTATAACTTTTCAGGGATGCAGCTTAGTATGAAGATAAGTTACATTAAATCGCCATATTTTGGGTTCTCCTACATGCCCCTGTTCTGTGTTTGTTTTTATGCAAAACACCCTGTATGTATATCCTTATACCGGGTTTTGGGAAAATTTGGGAAACCCGTATTTTTTATTTTTGCCATGTGGCCTCCTCTTTTGAAGTTACAGACCCCTGAAATCTGCCCTTAACAATAATCTTTTTTTTATATCTCAGGACCCTGTTGTACGAGAATCACTAAATTTGGTACATAGGAGTTTTATGACATATGGAATCTGATAGTGCTAACCTTTTTAGTGGGGAACTCCCTTAAGACACTTTTTCGTGGGCGCCCTTGTCCTTGGAGCCAAAAAAATTTGGTTGCATATTTGAATTTCTTAAAAATTATTTTGTCCGCTAGAAAGTCACTGAATTTAGAAACTTTTTTGTCCTTTGATATTTTTTTCGTAAACGCAATGTTTTCGAGAAAAATGGCAAAATGTGATCAAATATATTCTACGTAGGTTGCTGGTGTTCGCAATTAACAAATTTATTTTTTGACAGTTATCAGTAATCAATAGTCAGATTATTATCTCTTCTATATTTGTTAAAAAAATGTTGATATTTTCCACAACGAATACATCCATATCATTCGATGTTTTCGCGTTGGCACCAGCCACTTATGGAGACATGTTCTGTAATTGTAAGAAGATCCAATGCAGGAAGACGTCGTTTGTTAACACCCTATCAAGAATGAAATATCTTGAATTTAATTGAAGAAAACTCATTAGCAATATCTGTTGGGTTATAATCGTTGTTAGATGTTATTATTGGACCACATTTCTTGCTCTCTGGTCTACACAGAATACAAATAAACAGAAATGCCATTTTATTAAAACTTCAAATTGCTTTGGTGAAGTTTTTATTAACAATTTGGTTTTAAAATTAAATTTAATTAGAAGACAAAGGCAAAAAAATTTCTAAATTCAATGGCCTTTTAGAGCACTAATAATTTTTAGGAGAAAATAACAATGGCGCAAACCGTATCTCTATCTGTTACCATTTTCGAGCTAGAGGGTGTTCCTCGATATTTTGCTAAACTGACTGGTGCCCTTTTCTCGTTTCCCTTTCAAGATTTCTTAAAACAGTTTGAAACTTCTACAGGCACTTTTTTAGATACATTTGATGGCATAAAAATAAATGTGATAAAATTTTTAGTTCTTGTGATATGATACTACTTTCTTTTATATGGAACATCTTGTATTTTAGTTCAGACTCGGAAAGAGGTCTAAAAATGCATTCCAAAAATATGTACTTATTATTTTTTGTGAATTTGCGGAAAATATATAATTTTTAAGATACCAATGATACTTAAGTTTTCTGACTGAGAAGCATTTGAAAACAAACAAGTTTGACGTATAACATTATTAGAAGCCTATTAACAAAAATCAAAAATGGTACCTTTACTCAAATTAAGGCAAATACAATTTAATAAATTGTTTTAATCTAAGAATGAAAATGCATGTAGTATTATCCGTTTAACACCACTATCTACTTCTATTTGTCTAGATATTAGGATTTTGTCTAACACACTGTAGAACATCATTTTCCTGCTCTTCTCGGTTAGCTCTGTTGTAAATTTTGTTCCTCGGTTTTGTGTACGATCCATAAGTATTCAAATTCAATTTGAATTTTTCGAAAATTCTCAAGCTGGGTTGTGGTTTCTCTGGCTACCTTAAAATATGTAAATTAAATGTACGTCAGACATATTACGTTAATTTTACTACATTTCAAATTTAGATTAAAATATTTTATTAAATTGCATTTGTCTTCATTTGAATAAAAAACCATTTCTGATTTGTGTTAACAGGCTTCTAATAATGTTACACGTTAAACTTTGTTTTCAAAGCCTTCTCAGTCAGAAAACTTAAATATTGTTGGTATTTTGAAAATTTTATTTTCCGCAAATCTACACAAAAAATAAAAAGTAGATATTTTTGGAATGCATTTTTAGCCATCTTTTCGATTTTGAAATAAAATACAAGGTGTTCTATACAGGGTGATTCAGAACTTATCCAAAAAAAAATTCTGGATGTACAGGCAACCCTTACAAATACAATTTTGTAAAAAAAAAAATCAAAAAGGGCAGTTCGAAAATGATTTAAAAATACACTTCTACACGGCACTGGAAACTGGTCCACTGTAAAACCTGACCTTGCACAATGCGACCGGCATGGCGGTGTGATAAAAATGGACAAAAACTTTCGCAAGGAAAGAAATATGTAAATAGAATTTTATCGCATTTATTTTATATTGGCAAATTCAACTGCTTCTGCCTTTATTAATTAATACAATTAATTTGTGTTTTTAAATAATAAAATCATTTGACATACCCGATGTTACAACAACAATTGTTCAAAATTTTATCCACCAACGTGTAAACACATTTGGGTCCGTTTTACTCAGTTTCTACGAACTAACACAAATGTTGTCTTGCTTCACCATATCACAAATGCTTCACCATAAATTAAAACGATATCCATCAACTCCGAGTTGCTATACACGCAAACCATTTTTGACACTAACTACTAAAATAACTATTGTAAACACCACAGATATCAGGTAAATACTATTGCAACGACGATTGCAAAATCTGATTTCAGTATTTGGAGTTGCTGAGGCACGTGGCTCTCCACGCGCATTGCGAATGACGCTAGAGACTACAGTTGTCCAGCTATGTAGTCGTTGAATGTACTATAACTTCAATAATTTTTTTCTCTGAAACTGTAAGGATTTTACAAAAATTTTTTTTACGATATTGATTCCATTTCTCATGCCGCATCTATTCCCAAATTTTTTTGGATAAGCTCTGAATCACCCTGTATAAAAAAAACAAGTTGTGGTCATATCAAAAAAACTAAAAATATTATCACATTTATTTTTATGCCATCAAATGTATCTCAAAAAAGTGCCTGTAGAATGTTGAAACCGTTTTAAGATATCTTGAAAGGGAAACGAGATAAGGGCAGCAGTCAGTTTAGCCAAAAATCGAGAAACGCCCTGTAGCTCGAAAACGGTAACAGATAGAGAGATGCAGTTTATGCATTGTTATTTTCTCAAAAAAAGAGTTCAGGCTCTGTCTATCAGATTTAAACAATGATGGATTCGCAATAACCCTTGAAAACCGACCAATTAGAACCATTCTTACTATTAAAAAATGAAAACAAAATTAATTTTTTAATTTCAGAAATGCGTCCACAGAGTATGCAAAGTGTAAATCCTGCATACAAAAATTTCAGACGAGCTGGAAATATATTTTCCATCAAATTTGTAATACCCATTCTAGGTGGAACCAAGGGTGATACAGTATTTATTTTTCATTTAAGATAATTTCTGTATTGTGTCAACAGACACTATTGATATACCCCTGTGTGGTAGAAGTACTCAATACTCAAAAAAATACAAAAGAAGTGTTAATTTTTAGTTTTACATATTTCCTGTATCTTATAATTAGAAACAAGAAGAATAAATGTTAAAACCATGTATTCATAAATTTATACAATGAATATTCTTCATTTTTGATATTGTATTATCTATACATACATAATAGATGGAGGCAAGAAAATTGTTTGAATTATTTACAAATAAAATTTGTAAATAGTTCATTGATAATAAATAATAAGGAAAAGAGCAAGGCGCTGCGTTTATGGTTAATATAACAATTAATACCCCCACAATTGCACATTATTTATTTTTTGTACAATCATATATGCTGACTAACCAGCTCTGTCTCCACATTCAGCTGACTGACTGACATAACTTTTATTTATATGTAATATAGAATTTGTAAAACGATTTGCAGCCTTAGTAAATTAATTTTATTACCTCGGTAGCTACGACAACTTTGATAGTGTACCTTAAACACCTGTTCTTAGTTTTGCTTGACTGTCTAACTATCAAAAAACTAGGCTTAGTAGATTCAAACCATTTTTTTGCCTCTGGCTCTTGGTCTAATATTTATTTTTGATTTTAGACAATAATGGAAAAATGTTTAGAAGACAAAATTTTATACTCTCAAGTTAAAAGTTGCAGCTTAAATCAGGAATTGAATGCTTATCTAAATCATTTATTAGATACCCTTGAGAAAGATACGGAGCACGTTTTATTTGTGCATCAATGGCTAAAATTGAATGTATTGTTCGTCTTCTACTTAAACATATTTGGCACTTCTGATAAAAAATTAATCAAAAGAACTTTAGAATTGGATAAAAAGGTAAGAATCTATTTTATAAAACACAATAGACTCTCCAATAATAGTGAAAAATTGTTGATCTTTGATATTAAAAATATTTATATATATATATATATATATATTTCAGGAAACTTCTAACTAGTCTGGTAACACTACAACCAAATTTAAACCTAATTATGCTACATATGTAAAACGTACCACAAAATAAAATTATTGATTGTCTTACTTTCATGCATATAAAAACATATATTTTTGATTTTCTTAATTTCTAATATATTTGTATATTGAATCAGAACTATTGATTTAGCATGACTTCTAGTGCAACTGTCGGGGTCGATGCCATTGCCCCCGTTATACCTAAATAGGCCAATCTCTGAATTCTATTCAGTTTTTCTCACGCTGTGGTCTGTTGTGTTTTTTGTCACCATTCCACAACACCGCAGAGAATCCTAGGTCTTACTATCGATGTATACAACCAGTATGACATCTTTGGCTTCAGTCCCCAGGTGCTCCCAATAAGGTAACGGCATACACACATTGTCTGCTTCGCCTTACTCACCACATTTTCCAAGTGCGCATTCCAGGTAAGCTTATTATCTAGTATCACTCCTAGATATTTTGCTTCCCTGGAAAGCCTAATAAACCTCTCCCCTATTATAGGTTCAAAGAGTCCAATCAAATTCCTTCTCCTGGTGAAGGGTACTACGATCATTTTGTCAGGGTTTACTGACAGTGCCTGCCCCTTACACCAGTCATCTATCCATTTCAAAGCATCTTTCATGAGTTCTGAAACGATAATATTATGATTCCCGACTATGAGAACGACTAAGTCGTCCGCATAGCCTTGTGCATAAAATCCCTTTCGAATAAGGCCCTCCAGTGCGCCATCCACCACTAATCCCCATAACAAGGGAGACAGTATGCCTCTCTGGGGGAAGCCCTGGCCTACCTTACACTTGGATGTCTCTCCCGAAAGGGTAGCCGTTACTGTCAGGTTTCTCAACAGGGATCTATCCAATGACACAAAGTGTCATCAAGGCCCTTGTTGCGAACTACCGAATTAATAGATTCGAAAGGTGTATTATCAAATGCCCCTTCAATATCTAAAAAAGCTGCCAAAGCTAGATCTCTTTGTCGTCCATCGCCCTCTCTATCCTAGAGACTAGGTTATGAAGGGCCGTGTCGACTGATCTGCCTGCCTGATAGCTGTATTGGTACTTGTGTAGAAGATTTGCCTTCAACATCCCATTCCTTATAAGCCTATCAATTATTCTCTCCAACGTTTTCAGGAGAAAAGATGTTAAACTTATCGGGCGATATGCCTTTGCTTGTGCATACGATGGACGCCCTGGTTTAGGAATAAACGCCACGTTTGTCAATCTCCATGCCCGCGGTATATAACCAAGTGCAATGCTGGCTCTGAAGATGTGATTTAAGACTGGAGCTAGACAGTCCACCCCCTGCTGCCCACATAGAGAACTTTCATAATAAAAAAATTGAACAAAATTTACAAAAAAATTCCATAAAATTCTTCATAATAGGGAACTTACATGAAATTTTAATTTGATATAAAAGTTGGTAAATAGATTAATAGTAATGCAAAAATCATATTAAAAGTGGAATTTATATATTTTTTTTATGAAAAAAGAATATTAACTATTAAAATTACTCACAACTAGTGTCAGACTTGCGACTTGCTTCACAGAATTTTGATATATTTTTTAACACAAGTTTGATTTGTGGCCATGGCATACCAAGATAAGTAAAAAATATTTTATATTTAACAGGAATCACTTTTCTGGAAATATCGACAATAAGAAAGTTTACAAGAGGGGAGTATTTTATTTGGGGCTCAACTTTTTTTTTTTAGTGAATTACCTCTATTTTTATTTGATATTTTGCAAATTTCGTTCAAAATTTTGACCCACAAAAGTGAATTTAAAGTTTATCCTTTAAAAAACATTACGGCCCCACACCTCAGTATCAAAGTATGATCACTTTAAATTTGACCATCTATCACTATCATGAAGCATTTGATGATCTTGTATGTAAATGAAAATGTAACTGTGTTAAAAATATATAAATCTTCATTTCGATTTCAGGTATCCGCATGTACTTTAATTGGAAATATTTTATGGTATCCGGAACAGTTTCTATTAAAACATATCCAAAACTCGGAAAAATATATTAATGAAAAAACTGTAGATAGTTACAGACTAAGCATTTTACAGTACAAAAGTCAAACGTTACCGAAAGAATCAGATATCTTATGTGCCCAGGTTAGTATATCTCTATTCTCATACAGTGGTTTTGAGAAAAATACATTTAAAGTTTCACATTTACATTTTGCAATTTCTTAAATTATTACTATACTTAAATATAGTGTACTCCTGGAGCTATCAATCAATTTGTTGTCTATGTATCATTCTACCTTCTCAAGTAATTTCCTTTGCATGTTGAAATGAGTTAGAGAATAATTAGTACTTTGCACATTTTTCTTATAAACTTTGTTTACAAAAATTGAAGCATAAATCAAGTTGTCATATATTAAAAATTCTCTACCAGAAAAAAAATCACCTATAATTAAGGTAGACATTAAAAAAATTATAGTATGTTAATTTTTTTTAATTGAACTAAAAATAACTGAATTATCATGGCATTTGGTATGATACACCCAGTGTCTTAGAAAAATGAGTTCAACAGAAAATTTCTTTAGGGTTGTCATTTTTTGGTGGATTTGAAGAAAATAACCGAATTGAATACAAGAAATTTGAGAACTAAACATTTCCAGAGTATTGAACATTTGTTAATTGATGGGCTGACGTTAATACAAAAAATCTCTTCTGTGATTAAATGGACTTTGAATGTGCACACAGAGAAAGGTTTGCCAGTCACAAAATCTGTAGTATTGGCTGTTTGCAAACTAACTGAAGTACTGAAGAGCATATGTATCATGTTCAACAAAAACCTAATATCAATGGTTTACATAATTTTGTTAATCTGTCAACATTTATCTCATAAAGCTTTAAGTATTCTACATAATATTCGGGTAAGTAAAATAAAATGTGTATTAAAAAAATTTCCTGTTTATACAGGGTGTTCCTTGATGATATGCAAATATTTAAGGGTGTGATTCTAAATGGAAAATTAATGATAGTTTGGTTTATAAACTATGGTTCAAAAATGTTTCATTGCGGAAATGCGGAGTGTTAAAATTTTACATATACATATATTTTGTTCTTAAATATCATTTGTATATCTTCATTTATTTACCAGGTTATATAAATTATTGAACATTGTTGTTTTGCTCTTAACAGATGATTCCTCTTCCTTAGTAGATCATATTTTTGTTAGAATACTATGTTGATCGTAAGAAGTTACACTATGCTCCAATTCTAAATATAATTTACAAAAGCTTTTACTGAAAAACATTTTTCTAAATAACAAAATAGTTTCACACAAATATGAAATTGCAAATGGTGTCAAACATTTTAAATTCTCAGATATTCAACATACTAAAATGCCTTTTTAATGTGTAATAATAACACAGGGCAACAAAATTTGACGAAAGATCACACCCAAAAACCAGATCTCACTTGCCCTAAGGTTTTTGGTACGCAGAATCCGAATCCGGTGTCAGAATTGCTCCTATATGTCACGTTTCCGAGATATCCTAACCTAAAAGTACAAAAAACACATTTTTTGTTATATTTGAGCTTATATCACAGAGCGAAAGAAATTTTTTTCTTAAAACGAATCAAACTCTCTAAAACTACCATTCTTACCCTTCAAAACGCTTTTTTAAGAATTGAAAAAACTTTTTTATTCGCCTAGATATCATTGAATGAAATTAGGTACTTTAGCGTTTTAATAACAATGGTAATAAAATTGAAAAAAGTTCTTCAAGAAGCGGAAGTAATATATTTATATGTTTTTTGGGTCGCCCAATCCGAATATGACCTCCAAATTATTCTATCACTTTAGGATTCTGAGATTTCCTAACCTAAAACTGCAAAATCAACGATTTTAGACTGAACTATCGGTATTAACCTCTATAACTGTAACACGGAGTCATTTAACATAAAAGCACGTAACCTATAAACACTACACTTACAACAGATTAACCTAAGTACACAATAACCTTTAAGCGCTAAATCCCAGACAGGTTAACCCAAGTGCACAATAACCTGCGGGGGCTACACCCCAGACAGGTTTGTCTCTGTCATTACAGTACAATTTGTCATACAACTCCTTGTAAAGTGTACAAAACATTTGAAACTTTGACAACTTCTATTTCAGTAAAATCATCTATTTTACATGTCTGCAATGAGATAAATAATTTTATTGTGACAAATAAATATTAATGTAATTATAGAAGGAAACAAAAAATGTCAAATTTCAGACTGATAAATGGTACTTATTTAGAATTATGGCATACATTTTTATTTACATATATTTCAGAAACAATTCACACAAGAAAAATCTTATAAGGAACATCAGTTAGATGTTTTATCATCACTAAATGTATGTGAGCAAGCATTGAGAGGTAAATAAAAGTCAATATCTTAAATGAAATTTATTTATTTTTATCATGTTTTAGGACCTAACACTAATGAAACTTTGCTGTTTGTAAATTTGTCTTTATCAGCTAGTGGATTAAGTGCGTCAAACCTGGAGGAAATACGATCTATCTTAAATAAACTAGAATTGATGATAAATTTCACCACCTTGCTGAAGGACATTTCTAATTGCTCATTCTTATATTGGCATCAAAATTACATACTACCAGTGTATTTTTCGAAACTTATAACTTCAAAAGCAAATTTATCCAGGTATCAGGTGAGATATATGTATAGTATATAAACATGTAAATGAAAGAATAAATACATTAATATTAATAAAGTATAAGAAGTAGTAAAAAATAAGTAAATTATTAATTGTTAATGATATATTTAGAAATAAAATTTCAGTCAGTGTATCTGGGTTTTCACAAATAGTGTCAAAATTTCAATCACACATTTAACTTAACAATAGTAACAATTTTTATCTAATGTTTTTTTTAATCTTTGTTTTTAAGATAATATAATTTTTTTAAATTGTACATTTTTGTTACCCGCTACTGGCGCATAAGTCGAACCACTTAGTTGAATTAATAATAAATAATAGAAAAAAGTACAAAAGTAGAGAATAACTAGTATTTAAGCTAGCAAAAAATTTTAAGAGGAATCATTGCATAAAACATTTGCATACGTTATTTTGGTATAGATATCTCTAATTCATAGGCAGCTCCTTAGTGATATTTTAAGGGGTAAAAAATACTAAGCAAAAATTTGAGCTTTCGAAGTTGCTTTTTTAAGTTCATGTTTAAAACTTTTACTCTTATTCCTAGGACATCCAGCATTGTTAATTTATACAGTACAGTAGTACCACAGAGATAAGAAATTTTCTTTAAAATAAATTCATGTAGGTTGCAATATGAAAATTAAATTTTTTTATTTAAAAATACTTTTACATACTGATTATTAGTCCAATTAACTAAGCCTTTAAATCGAAATTTTGCCAACTTGGCTGAATTTTTGATATGAGTTAGTTTAAGGTATATTATAACAATAAGTGAGAGTAATTTTTTGTTCAACCCCCGGCCAAGGGTGGAAAAAGATAAAACAAAGGGCTTTTTCAAGATAACTCAAAAAGGGTAAGAGCTAGAAAAAAAAGTTTTTCATGAAAGTTGTAAAGCAGACAATTCTACATAAAAATGGCCTCTTAACTTTTTCTTGTACTATTACAATTAACAGAGTTAGGGAGGCTAGAAGTTAAGGGAAGATTTCAGAAATTTAAAAAAAATCATAACAAACAGAAAAATGATTGAATTTTGTAATTTTTTTTTTCAATCTGCTCTAAAATATGTAACTTTTCTTTTCAGAGAAATAGATATATTTTTTAATTTTTAATAAGAAAGTTATAACAAAAAATCAAATTTTTAATCGTTAATTTTAATGATTTAACAAAATTAAATTTCTGAAATCTTCCCTTAACTTCTAGCCTCCCTAACTCTGTTAATTGTAATAGTACAAGAAAAAGTTAAGAGGCCATTTTTATGTAGAATTGTCTGCTTTACAACTTTCATGAAAAACTTTTTTTTCTAGCTCTTACCCTTTTTGAGTTATCTTGAAAAAGCCCTTTGTTTTATCTTTTTCCACCCTTGGCCGGGGGTTGAACAAAAAATTACTCTCACTTATTGTTATAATATACCTTAAACTAACTCATATCAAAAATTCAGCCAAGTTGGCAAAATTTCGATTTAAAGGCTTAGTTAATTGGACTATATTCTCTGATTTCCATACACTGACATATAAATTCAATCAAGAGTGAGTCTGTATCAGTTGATTATGAGAAAATATACAGGGTGTTTCATAATGATGTGCAAATATTTTAAGGAAGTGTTTAAAAAGTAATTTTAGGGGGCATACTTCCAATACATTTTTTTTAACCCCCTCCCCCCTGAGAAAATATTCAAATCTCGAAATGGCCGAGAAAATTAGTTTTTTTTATTATTAAATTTTTAGTTCATATTTGCTTAGTGTTTCCTATTGATAAAAAAGAATTTTTGCAAAAAGCATGTCAAAAGTGACGATTGTTTTTGGTAACTGTTGTTTGTACTAATTATGTGTACCTAATCGGCAAGGAAACCATTAAGTATATGAAAAAATGGGAATAATAAAAAAGTTTCTAAATGAAATGTAGTATTAAAAGCTATTTTTCTTGTTGAAATTAGCTAACGTAGAAAAAAGTTGTAAGAGAAATAAAACTGCTAATTTCTTTCATTCAAAGACATAAACCAGAAAAAAAGGACTACCAAAAAATACCATTCAACTAGTTGTTAACCTGTACTAAAATTTAAATTTCTAAGTTTAACCGTTTTCGTGAAAAAAAATAAAAGCTAATTTTTTCGGCCATTTTGAGATTTGAATATTTTCTCAGGGGGGCTCAAATCAAAACAATATATTGGAAATACTCCCCCTAAAATTACTTTTTAAACACCTCCTTAAAATATTTGCACATTATTATGAAACACCCTGTATATGCAGATATATTGTAATTTTTTTATTTCGCAAGTTTTGTTCAAAATTCTTTTGTCGCGAATGTTCTTTGTGTGGTCCTAGAAATAACCCAAAAAAAACTGTATGGATCTTACACTTTATTATCAATATATGTTTGCTTTATTTTCAGCAGCTGTGACTGAATGATATTATCCTGTAATTGGAAGTATTTATTTTAACTTATATTTTCATTTTTTATGTTTCCTAATTGCAGAATTCTATTTGGTAAATCTTCAGATTTCAGTAACAGGGTGGCAATGTATTTGGTTATTCCGGACCTAATTCACTTTGCCATACTACAGGGTGTTAGAAGTTTGACTGCCTTAATTTTAACAAGGGATAGAATACATTAAAATAAACAACATAAACCTTATATGACATGGGTCCTAAATTCAACCATTTCCGAGAAAAGAAATTATCAAAACCTCCAACTTGATATACAAAATTTCGATTTATTAAGTAACATTGACATAACTGCTTGCATAGAATACCATAAAATACAATGTTTATCACTTTTTCTGAACTTCTTTATTCTTAATTCTAAAATATAATTAGCATTGTAATAAATTTAAAATTCAGTAAAATTCATATCGAGCAATGTGACAACGGCGCGGCGGATAACACGAGGTACTAAGCTGTCCAGCAATACGCAATTCAGTTGGTATCTGAAATTGGACCCTGTCTGAGTGGTTTTTGGGTACCTATCACTATTTCCTTTTCTTGAGAGGTGTTTTCCAGCCAGTGCGCGAAAATTGGATTCGAAGGTGTCGTGCGTGCACTGAAAATGATGGTGGACACTTTGAGCTTATGTTGTAGTTTGTTTTGCACTTGTGTGTTTAAAAATTACTGAATTTAGCTTTTTGGTAAGTACCTAAATTATTTTTACTACGTATGATTATGTGGACGACGTGAATCTTTGGGTACTTTAATTACAATTTTTCATATTCATAATTTGATTAAAGGTTCCTGTTTTAAGAGATTCATAATTACTAAAATTCGAGATAAAATTTAAGCATAACACTTCGTACTACAAAATCGATATATTTTATTTTATTTATTTAAAAACTTGAAAACGATTGTCTTGAAATTTACTAAATGTTTCACAATAATAGTTGTTTGTCTGCCGCGTGCACATGTGGTATGCTCAGATGTGTAGCATTAGGTTAAACGCTGTTGTCACGTTGTGATGAATCTCCCCAATACATATTAATACTTGCCTGTATTTTGAAAAATGTTAATTTTACGCCCCTGTAATGTACAACTTTTTTGTTCATTTATAATTACTCTACCTCATGCTGAAATAATGGTAGTCAAACTTCTTACACCCTATAATAGGGTGTCCGGAAATTATGAGTCAGGACTTCAGGTGGTGATTCCTCACAAACAATTAGGGTCACAAAGTCCTATAACAATTTTTCGAAAACTTAATATTAACGGAGATACAGGGTGCGAAAAATTTTTTTTTTTTAGTTTTTCTTAGATAACTTATTTGTGATTTGATTTTTTCCAAGCCTTTCCTATGTATTACTAGTGCCCTTGTAGATTTATGTTCAAAATATAATGCAAATATTCCAGTGCCAAAGGGCCTAACCAGACCTTAATCTTCGCTGCGCGACATGCATTATAATTATGGCTTAGCTGCGGGAAATGCATCAAGAGCAAAACGTTTGTATCGAGATGCATTTCCAATAGAAGAATTTGATGTCGGTTGCCCGCGACGAACTCGAACACCTGGGGCTGAAGTCGTGTTTTGGATGTGGTTGATAATAATCCTGATATAAGAGTCAGGTTAATTGCATCGCAGGAAAATATTCCCAAAAGCTCAATCCATGAAATTTTGCAGGAACAACTCCTGCATCCATTCCGCTATCGAAAGGTCCAAGCCCTACTCCCTAGAGATCCGATTGCACCACTGAATTTTTGCAGGACAATTATAAATCTCCATGAAGGCAACAAAAATTTCATCAATTCAATTCTTTTCATGGATGAAGCTGGATTCGGGCATGATGGTGTAATAAATCTACATAATAAACATTATTGGTGTGACGAGAATCCTCATTTAGTTGTGGAACGTGGGTTCCAGAATAAATTTTCTGTGAATGTATGGGCTGGCATCGTGGGAGATCATTTAGTTGGGCCACATTTCTTTCCTCAAAGGCTTGGTGGTGAGGTTTACCTACACTTTCTACAAAATGATCTGCCAGTTTTGTTGGAAAACGTTCCTATTGGAATGCGACGTGCAATGTGGCTACTGCATGACGGTGCACCGCCTCATTACAGTTTAACGGTGAGAGAGCACCTCAATGAAATTTTCCCTGAGAGGTGGATAGGGTGTGGTAGATTCATAGAGTTGGCTGCCAGATCGCCCGACTTGAACCCGATCGACTTTTTCCCTTGGGACTATGTTAAGTCACTGGTATACAGAAGGCCTATGAATAACGTGGAAGAGCTGAGGCAACGAATTATTGATAGTTTTGCAATAATAAGAGCAAAAGAGGGCATATTCTTCAGGGTTCGTCGTAACTTTCTGAGAAGAATGAATTTATGTGTCGAAATGGAAGGACAACATTGCGAGAACTTATTATAAGAGCATAGACTAAATAAAAATGTTACTTAATAATGTAGTTAGTGAATAAATTTTGTATTGATGAGTTGAAACTGTGAATATCAGTTTAAAACAGCGTTAACACATGAAAATATTTGAAGTTGTTTTTCTCAGAAACGGTTCATTTTATTGTATCGCAACAAGAGATACTTTTTTAAATAATTTTTGATATTGTTTAACATGGTGATGTTCAAATTTATAAAGCGGTGAAAACAAAAAAGTTGTGGGCCATAGATCGAAGATTAAAGTCAGGTTAGGCCGTTTAGCACTGGAGTATTTGCATCATATTTGGAACATAAATCTATAAGGGCACTAGTAATACATAGGAAAGGCTTGGAAAAAATCAAATCACAAATAAAAAAGTTATCTAAAAAAAACTAAAAAAAAAATTTTTTTTTTTGACACCCTATATCTCCGTTAATATTGAGTTTTCGAAAAATTGTTATATGCCTTTGTGACCCTAATTTTTTGTGAGGAGTCCGTTTCCCTTAAATACACTCATAAATTAGGTTTTTTTTACTATAAAATATTATCTATTTAGCTGATTCACTGTCAGAGGTTACTGACATTGAGAATAGTAATACAATTGTTTTTATTTACAATTAGTAACGCATGGACATGATAATATTAGTTAATATTTAATAATGTTAAAAATCTTAATTTTCAAAAAACAATGAAATGTTTTTTTAATGTTCAGCGTTTAATCCACTAAATCATACAAAAGCAAAGTTTTTGCTAAACAAGAATTTCAGATTAGTATTCTGGAAAAGTATTGGTCTTAAAATACTGCTCCCGCCCTCACATAAAGTTACTAGTTTTTATTTCAATTTTTTAGAGAATTGTTAGCAAATTCCAGTATAATCAAAAGATTTTGTCTATGAGCACAAACAAAAAAATTAAAACCATCAAATACCTTTTTAATATGTACTTAATGTTTTTAGCTTATATTGAGTGTCTTAACTGATTGTGCTGCCACTGCAGGACCTGAAATAAATGAAGTAACCAGCAAAATTATTAAGGACCGTTTTTTTGTCCCTGTGGAACAAATTATTGAAACAAATTTGAGACTCCAAACTCATCTCCATCTCCAGCTCCCTCCATCCGATCCATTCCAGAATTACTTTGCTTTAAATTTTCATAAATACTTGCCTACTCCTATGGACAACCATTATAAAAGCATTACCAAGGAAACGGAACATTATTTAAGTTCGATGTTTTACAATTTAACAACAGTGGTTTTACATGACTGGAAAACGTATGGAGAAATGAGAAGGTGAGTAACTAAAAATTTATTTTATTTTAGGTAATTTGGTGTAATATATTTTCTTTTATTCAAGGTTAGCTTATAATCAGTACGGTTTAGAAACAGTTGATGACAATTTGCCTATGCAAACTTTAGAGCAAGGACTGGACGTTTTGGAAATTATGCGTAACATAAATATCTTTGTTAGTAAATACCTTTATAATTTAAACAACCAGGTATTCATCGAAGAATCGAGTAACAACAAACATTTGAATTCCATCAACATATCACACGTAGCCAATTCCATACGTACCCACGGAATTGGAATAATGAATACTACTGTTAATTACACATATCAATTTTTAAGAAACAAATTCTACATATTTTCCCAATTCATGTTTGATGAACATATAAAATCGAGATTGTTAAAGGATTTACGATATTTTGCCGAGCATAAAAACGAATTACATCAAATGTACCCTTATGAGAGGGCAGAAAAATTTAATTCCGGTATAAGACAACTGGGGTTGAATCAAAATGGAGAGAGCTACTTAGATTTATTTAGAAAACTGATTACACATATAGGTGAGTCCCCGATTTGCTTTGGTTTTTTTTTATTTTATATATTTTTCCAATTGTAACAGTTAAGGAGAGAACGCATTAGGCGGTCGCGGTTCCGTCCCGTCGCAATCCGTTCTGGGCTGAGCTGATCGCGGTCTTTATATTACAAAATCCGTCACATTTGACAATTGCACACAATCGCGTTTTCCTTTAAATAGTTGCAGTATTGTTTTAGTAGTGAAAATGAGTTCTATGGAAGCGGTGTTTTTATCAGCAGAAAACCATATTTAGGGGGTGAAATACACTCTAAATTAACCCCCAAAAACGGTTTTTTATAAATATATGGGGTTCTAAGCAATATTTTGGAAAGAAGCAAACTGGAAATTACTTCTTATAAAAAACAAATGTTTCACAAGTTATTTCCTGTTTGGGAACCCTTATTTTTTATTTCAGAAAAACTATAATTTTAAAACATTTTTTATATATAGGTACAAAATTTATATATGCTCAAAAAGAATTAATAACATGATTTATGTAAACAAATTGACAAAATTAAATTGACCTGTTTCGAGGTTTTCGTTAAAATCTCTTTTTAGGGGGTGAACAACCCCCTAGTGCGAGAAATGTCTGTACGATTAGAATTAACATTATAAAATAAATAGTTTTACTTTTTCTTTAATCATAATAATTTTTTCCATTAGCCTAAAACGGATTTAAACGGATACCCCCAGAAACAGTATTTCCGTGATGTCTCGGGTTCTAATCAATATTTTGGAATGAAACAAAGTGGAAACTACTTCTTATAAAAAAGCAGATGTTTCACAAGTGATTCCGTGTTTGGGGGTTGTAACCCTTATTTTTTATTTCCGAAAAAAATGTATTTTTCAAACAAAATGGAAATTATTTCTATTGAGCAGAACGAATTATTCACAAGCAATCTTGTAATTTGTTTTTTTAGTGAAAATTAATGAAAATAAGAAGTATAATTTTACCATCTACAAACGGAGGATGCAATCCCTAATGTTCAATGGACTGTGAATCGTCCTGTTTAGTAGAGGCCGTTTTTCATTTTGCTTAATAGAAAATAATTGATAGGGCCAATAGAGGACAGTGTCAACTTGACTTCGATTTTATTTGAATGCTCGTTATTTTAAACTTTAAATATTATTAGGAAATCAGTGGGTACCTATTATCTGTTTTTTTTTTTAAATAGTTTTTATAACAGAGTAACTGAAATATGTGGATTTTCATTTTCATATCGATAACCAGTCCTGTGTGTACATATAGTAATACCTATTTGTTTGAATCAAAATTTTACTGCTTTTGAAAATTGAATGTTTGAAAATATTGTTTTAATACTTAAGAAAATGAGTTCTATGGAAGAGGTATTTTTATTGGATTGGAAAAGCGCCAAAGAAAAAAGCATGCAAGATTTTGGATTCATTCAATTAACAGAAGCAGAAAGTAGAGGGCGAATTTGAAACTTTATTAAAAAAAATTGTTATTGGACGAACAGCAATTTTTTCAGTACTTCCATATGTCATCTGGAAAGTACAATGAGCTACTAGAGATTATTCACGAAGACATTTAGTTGTAAAATACAAGATTTAGATGCTGCATACCACCTGTAGAAAGGCTGGCCGTTTGTCTAAGGTAATTTCTTTTAAATTTCGTGTAGTCACGTTGCCGATTTATTTCTATTTTAAACGATTCATAGAATTAGCATAGCACGTGATCATCAAAAAGATTCGCACCTAGATACTCTCTAGCTCGTCTCGATCGCATTGCGGTCTCCCGAGCAAGGGGAGCTGCCTCCCCCATAGAAATTCGAAAAGAGTAATTTTCTAAAGCTAAGAAAATATTTAGATTGGAAATTTTTAATAAAATATTTTATTTACTTAAACTTTAGTTTCGAACATTAATACACTACTTTATTTTTTTTAAAAAACAATTGTAATAAATTAGTATAAATATTTGTTTACAAAAGAATTTAAAAATATAAATATTATGTTAAAAAGTACTACTTTTCCATATTTTAAAAATTTAGCTCTGGAATTCTAAATTTAAAAAAATAATAAATTTTTATCTATCGGAATCAGAATAAAAATTTGCAGTGCAACTAAAGCTATATATGTAACGTACCAATTTTATATAGGGGGAATGAAAAATAGAAGAACAGAAGAATAAAAACCTGGCTGAGCAATATACTATGGTACAAAATCGTCTCAATGGCCTAGCAATGATGAGTATACACAGAAAGCATATTTTTGACAACCATGAAGATTTTATTAATAAAGTGGACGATAAATTTTCAAAAAATCCGAAAAGATTATGTTTTACCTAATTTTCGTTGAATTTCTTTATTTTTTTAGATATTTATATATTTTTTTGTTTTTCTTGTTTTATTTATTAAAAATATTTCTATAAAAAATTAATTCACTGTACCTATTTCTACCTATAATTTATATTTCTCCCATGCTCTCTCTTATCTTGCCCCCCTAGCCCATTAGCTGGCGACGCCCTTGCTCCCGAAATTCTTTGGAAAAGGTCGGTAGAGAACGCGATGCGACCGCGACGCGACAGCGATCAGCTCGCGATCGTCTAGTGCGAATGCATACATTAGAAAACATGGGAAGGAACTCTACCGCGCGCGATCGCGACTAGCATGGTCTGCGACGGGATGGGACCGCGACCGCCTAGTGCGTTCCCTCCTTTAACGTTCAAGTTGGTGTTTAGCTGAATGAACAGTGAGAGTACAGAGGAAAATTGAATGGTACAACCAAATCACTAAGATAAATGGGCGAGTGTTAACACAATCAAGGTTTAGAATTTGCTATGGCCTTTGTAGTCTTTTATTATAATTCTATGATATACTCTGCCCTGAAAACTTTTTCTGTTTCAAATAAATGCAATTTTGTTTGCATCAAGTACCATAAATGTGTTAAAGTTATACTTCTGAAGTGTACTTTCTTTCCTTCATGTACTCAGAACATCAACTCGAATTGATCGAATTTTCGATTGTCAGAAAATTAAAATAATGGTTCAGATGACATGAGTTTGCTTCAAAATAAAAATTTATCTGTCTCTCTGACTTTTTCAATCCCATTCAGAATTAAGATTTAAGTTTTGATTGGAGAACATTCTTCTTTGCCTTTTCACCCAGGTATTAGTTAGGTCTATGTGCCCTGTGTTTTGTAACCGCTGATTTTTCTATGGTGTCATTTTCCAAGTGGCACTCGTGTTCCTTTAACTTCACACTGACATACATTTCCGTTTGACAAATGTATACTTTTCTGCATATATCATAATTTTTTTTAAGATGCTAGTTATAAGCAGACAAAAACAAGCCTATTGTACTTAATATTACAATTAAGGACAAACAGCAGTCAAAGTTGGTACCTACCTTTATACCTTAATTCGGAACTTTGATAATAATTCATAATATAGCAATTAAAGTTACCAAGTTTTGCTAGCACACAACACAACATAGCACAGCAACAATTATTTTTTATTTTTTGTTTTATTTTACAAAAAAAATTTTTTCCTCATACCTCGGTCGAAAGTACGTCCTTTCGTCCCTAATAGTAGCAGGGACGAAAGTATAACATTTACTCCCTGTGAAAAGTACACGCGCGCCCTCTATAACGGCGGGAGGAAAGAATTTCTCATCCGTATTTATACTCATAACTAGGGACTATTTATTATGTCGCTATAACAAATTGTTAACCGCTGTCATTACTGTTGCTACCTCTAAAGTTAAAAAAAGTAAAATTAATAACGTACTTTCGACCGGCTATGAAGAAAAATCGTATACACTACACGGGTCAAAAGTTGAATTCTCGGTCCTGCTCGTCATGATTCAACTTTCGGCCTTTGTGGTGTAATATACTATTTTTAAACTTTAAGTCTCTAGTTTCAAACTCTTCACAAAAAATTTTTTCGATCTATGATTATCGTGGATTAAAAAAAATTTTCACTTTTTTTGGCCTGTCCACAGACTTAGGAAAATTTGTTCGAGCTCAATCAATGTAAAGTTGGCTCCTTTAATTTGCTTCAATTTGCTTTTTGAAAGGTCTCTGAACGACTATTGCTTATTGATGGTTGAATAAAAAATTACACTTTTGTCTTTAATCATCGATATCTCGGCAACAAATTATTGCACAGTAAATCCAAGAGCGGTTTTGAAAACTTGAATAAACACTTTACAAGTACCGATCATGGTTATCGAAGTAATCATTTTTTTTTTCATCCTTGAGATTAATTTGAAAAAAGTGCAAAAATATGTTTTTTTACGGTTTTTTAGAAAATCCACCTATAATATACAAATATTGATGAAAAGGCTAATATTGAGAGACATTTTTACAGGTCAATGTACTCAAAATAGCCCTGTAAATTGACAAATTGATCCATCCAATCTGTTTTTCTGTTCCAAATGATAAAAATTTCAGAAAGAATTTGTTACAGTTTTACATTAAATATTATTTAATTACATTATTTATTAGTTATAATTATATTTTAATAGTATATTTTGTGAGATGAAAATGCCGTATTTCATGTGTGAATATATTCTTGTGTTCAATTTAGCTCAATATGAGCTATAATACAGCCAATTATTATTTTATTAGTTATTTCTACTTGAAAACACATGCATTATATTCAAATTGCCAGTCACATAAAAGATAACATTTGCAAATTTTTTAAGTATTTTTATCCCTGTCCAAAACATGTTTTGTTAAAATAAGTTAATTCTCTTCCATTTCTCAAATATTATTTTTTACCCAATATACATAAATAAATGCCAAAAGTTGTAACAGAGACTTGGCAACAGTGCACGAGTATGCTGAGTTTATTATTTGTAAGTTGGTAGTCCTTGTTATGTGTATACAATGCTATGTGATCGCTCGCCTATAAAATGTCGGATGAAGAACAGAGTCAGTATGGTAGAAAGGAAACTTTGTGACGGAAAGAAAGATGAGTGCTTGAGAATTAGAACAGAAAAAAGAAAAGCAGGAAAAAAGCTATTGAAGAGAAGATTGTGGAGCCAGAACCTCCACACACCGTTTGAGGGTACTTATCAACTAATCCACATAGAGTATATGGCACAAAATATGCACTGCTCTTTTTGCAAAGAAATTTTATATACAGGGTGTTCCTAAATATTATGTACATAAGAGAGGGGATAATTCTTTGACTTATTTCATGACTAAAAGTTCATATAAACATAGATCCGCAAACGCTTCGTTACCAATCTACAGTGAAATTTTAAGATTTTTTTAGTTTTTTCTCTATAGCTCCCACAGTTTTTGAGATATTTAGCTCAAATTTGGAATATAGGTTACGCTGTAGGGCTTACATCATTGGACATGCCAAATGGTCGTGATATTCTACAGAGTGATATTTTTTCGGGGTTCATGCCCCCTTTTCTTCCTCTGTACTTTTGTGCGGTGCGCCGCTGGTAGATTCTAAATCAAAGTTGGATTTTATGTTTTGTTGAGAATCTTTTTCGCCTCTTATAATTTTTTCGTATCTACGACCGTTATCGAAAAAAATATATGAAAAACGAATTTCTGTAATTTGTTAGATGAAATTTAAATTCTTAAAATGGTCCAGTAGGTTCTGGCTTTATTTAGATAATCTCTTTTTCTATTAATTTTGACAGTTTATTCGTCACTACCTGTTAAAAATTAAATCTGGGATGACCCATTTCAAAATTCATATTTGGCATTGTTGAGAGTTTATACACCTTACAGTTTATAATATAAACCTTTAATTTTTAAACATATGCAGACCCAAATGTGAACTGTACATGATATTTAGGAACACCTTGTATTTTAAATTATCTACAAACTGTGATCACAAAGTGATTCGCGTGGAAAAGTTTTAAAAATGATTTAGTTACATGCATAAGTAGCATACTACTATGATACACTTCTGTGAATACAAATGTTCCTTATAAGAGTTTAAAGCGATTGTATTTATGAAAGTATAATACAATCTGATATATGTAATATTATACTGAGATACTGTTATTGCAGCCAAAAATAATTTAAAAAATGAAAATTATACGAGTATTAAAAATGTCATAATTTATCAAAATGCATAAGATTATTATATGCGCTACGATGCAAAGTATAAATATTTCATTGTTTATATGGTGCTGTATTTTTTACTTGTACTTATTGAAAGTTTATTGTTCTTTATAAATAAACAAAGATTTCAGAAAACATACTTCATTTGAAAATTTCCCATTTTATTTTATTATTCCAAATTGAATTACACAAATAAACACAAATTGAATGTAATCCATTTCTAATGACAAAGTTGTGTATCGAAACGTTTATTTAAATTTCCGGTCACCTATCCTCATTCATACTCTATAGCGCTGTTGCCGTCACTCGTTCGCATTTAGTACTTGGTAGACAAGACAGAACTTTTAATGTTTGATAAATTTATTTCTCTATTAAATGTGCGGTAACCTACTTTTTCTTTCTTTCATCTACTAATTAATGATTCAGGTAAATGTCTATATTTTTTCGCCTTACCTTTGCATTTTTTCATCCGTAATTCGATTACGGGTATTCATCACAACATTTCCCATAGAACCTATGATAAATATTCAAATTTTTGGCATTAATTAAAAACAAACACAAATCGATAAATAATAATTTGAGAATAATTCACAGAATTTGATTTTGTATTGCAAAAATAATATATCTCTATCAATAATACGAAATTGGCTGCATTTTTTTCGTAGTACCCGATCCTCCTTACGGCAATGACATATTTTACATTTTCATTTTCATCGTGAAAGAGAATGAATATCACTTATGTCAACTAAATATATTAGATGAAAAATAATTATTTACTTCTGAATCTAACAAATAAAAAATATTTCACTTAATGTAATTTAATTTTTGTTACAGGAAATGCAATGGGATATATTAGGCTGATAAAATCAGGAGGCAGACGTTGTTTAGCTGATGGAACATGCTTTATTCCGGATTTAAAAAGTATTCAGTATTTAAATGAAATTATCAGTCAAGAGGACATGCCTGATTTAACGCAAAAAGCGGGAACGTGCTTTTTGGATGACCTCCAATCTTTCCTAGATAATATCGAGGAAGCTACAGAATATTTTAAACTGCTGGTTAAAGTTTTCGTACCAGTATTGAGAAACAATAACAATGTTCATTTGAAAAATTTTTACATGATAGCTCCACCGTTGACAATTAATTTCATCGAACATTCCTTAAATTGTAAAGAAAAATTAAATAAAAGGAATAAAGCTGACTGTGCCTTCACTGATGACGGATTTGCTTTAGGTAATAAATTACTGAAACAAATATATTCACCTTTTCAACACAAAAATTTTATATAAAGTACTCCTACTAATTTTAAGTGATCTATCTGCTGGCGAAGTTTGTAACCTTATTATTGTTACACCCTGTATTGTGGTTTCATATAAAATTTTTCTATTTGAACCCCATCTAAAAATTACAGCCCTCTTTTAAGTTTCTTGTCCAATCTTCCTCCTTTTATAATTGAATTTTCGCACGGAAATAGTACTAATTAAAGGCAACTATATTAATACACATTTCGATGAAATGAGGTTTGAGGAATATTTAGTAGTATGAGGCATATCCACGAGTACTAAAGGACCCCGCACATTTTATATGGAAAACAGTCTTCCGGTGAAATTTACTAAAAATTTGGGAAATTGTTCGTTTTGTACCCCTGATCAAAAGTGTCAATGGGGTCAAAGCTCAAAATGCCCATCTTTAGGCTCTACGGCAATTTTTAGTGGCCAAAAACGGCAAAAATTCATTTTTTTTTAAATATTATGTTTAATGCTTGTACAGCCCCTTAAGTTTTCATTAAATTGTATGCGTGTGAGTATTTTATGTAGGAATATGTCCATGTCTAATTATATGTGTGTATATGTATTTGTGTGAGAGGGTTTTTGAATGCACAATTATACAAGATTTAATACACACCGTCTCAATATTATTTTGTGGTTTTAATAACCTTCAATGAACTCGGAACTCTCATGCNCTCCTGAAGAGATGGTGGGCTTTACGGAAACGGCAAAATGTCTTACAATTCGTAAAGTAAGTTTTACAGAGGTTTGTATTATTTTAGAAATATCCGTTTGATTTCAGATTTTTGACGATGCATACCGTTCAACCTTAAGTTGTATTCTAGTCGATAACATTGAGAGATTATTAGACTACGGCCCGATTGGGCCCAGGTATTCCAATTTGACTTTGCAAGCTCTTTTGGTGCTACTCAAAAAACAACCCCCTCCGGGCAAAAAATTGCTTATTTTGTGTACGTCGAGTAGAAGGTTTGTTTTTTTTTGTCTATCACAATTAGCATATATGATTGTTTTCTGATTTTATAGGCAAGTATTGGAAGAGATGGAGATGCTGTCTGCTTTCACCGCCGTTCTGCATGTACCGCGACAAAGCGAACGTGATTTTTTATCTTTGTCCTGGCAGTGTCGTAGGAGCTAAATAAAATTCAAAATATAAAAAGGTAAATAAATTTGTATCTGTCTAAAAAACAAATGTAAAAAAAATTCGAAGGCAACTTTTCATTATTTTAAATAATCAATCCAATAGTATAGAAAAAAATTGTTTTAGTTTTGTTACATCATTAAAATTTACGATAAAAAATTTGAAATTGTTATATAACTTTCCTATTAAAAATTAAAAATTATATATATTTCTCTGAAAAGAAAAGTTACATTTTTTAGAGTAGATTGGAAAAAAAATTACAAAATTCATTAATTCTTCTGCTCGTTATGATTTTTTAAAATTTCTGAAATCTTCCCTTAACTTCCAGCCGCCCTAACTCTGTCAATTTTAATAGTACAAGAAACAGTCATGAGGCCATTTTTATGTAGAATTATTGTATGCTTTACAACTTTTATAAGAAACTTCAACTGATTTCATTGCGGGCACCTATACTATATTCATTAATGGCGTACAGAAAAACCAAAGGCCCATTATGTGGCTAAAATTAAGTAAATTTTGTTACACACGTAGGCTCTTGAGGCCGCCGTTTCCGAGCTGCAGGGTTTTCAAAATTTAAAAAAAAAATTAATATTTTTAATTTTCTTAAATCCATTCAATCTAACTATTCGTAAGTAGGTAGTAGACGTTTCGCAAGATTTATTAACTAGGATGAATCGATTTTTCTATTGTAATGTAAATGCAACTCTTTTAATAGAAACAAGATAATAAAAAATGCATACGGGGTCTGCTATAAGAATTTGCCGATCAGTCCCATTTTAAAAATGCCAATCTACCAGGAAAATATTTTTGTACAAAACTCGTAAAACATCCCATATAGACAAGCAGTTAAGCCGTCATATTTCAAGCAAAATACGATTCAGATTGGAAACCTTTATCTTACGTCGAGTGTACATCAAACAGTATTTTTTGACATAGTTGCCTTTAACCTCAATGCACTTTGTGAACCGAGAAATGAGCTTTCTGATATCTTTGTCAAAAAAATCTCCCACTCCCTCACAGGTCCATTGTTTCTCACTGTGGATCCCGTCATTGGTAGAAATCCTTTTTCCACCCATAAACACCTTCAGAGAAGAGAAAAGATGAAAATCAGAAGGTACCAAGTCAGGGCTGTGAGCTGAGTGGTTAATGATGTTTCAATGAATCTAACAGTTGCTTTGTGGAGTTGATTGTGTGGGGACATGCACCGTCATACACTTCCCCTTTTTTTGTTCTGTATTGCCCTCCGTAGTGTTTTTAGGGTTTCACAGTACCATACAGAATTAATTGTTTCTCTCTTAAAAGTAAAAGCGAAAAATAAAGTAAAATTGTATAGTGTTAATGAGACCCATGCGCCTGTTTTTTTGAAACCGGTCTTTCAAATCTGGGCTGTGTATATGAGACACACACAATTATATCATTTTCCAGTTCCAGGCGATTTCTCATTTTTGTTTTGATGGCAGTCTTAGACGAGAAACTTAACTCACATAAATACGATGTTACAAATGGAACCAAATATAACTTTTTATTAATTTATTTTTATTGTAAATGCTAGTCTGGCAGAAGTGCTATTGGATAACTGTTAAATTTAATTTCAATGTATTTAATTTAAACTTAAGCAATAAGATAAAATAAAATTTCAAAAATAATCAGTTAATTGTAATTAAGGCACGCTATTTTGGTTTGAGTGATGAGTAGGGGGTCCCCGAGAAAATTTTTAACAAAAAGGGGGTCGTGCTTTAAATAAGTTTGGGAAACAATGCTATAGATACTAAATATTATGTAGAATAACATATTAGTTTCCACAGTCATAAAAATGAGGGGAAGATTGTTTACAGGGTGGTTAATTGTATAATTTTTATGTAAATTCACTTTTTTCGTCTTCAAAAGACTACAAAACTAACCCTCGAGCGTCAAAAAATATTGATTAGTTTAAAAGTTATAAACAGAAGTTTATTTATGGCTTTTGAATTAAACATTTATAAACTGCGTTATTATTACCAGAACATTTTGGCATCGCATTCTCTCATTCTTTATCACTGTCTAATAACTCACATGAAATCTGGAATCGGTAAGTTGAATAGTTTAAAAGTTATGGCCTTATAAACAAATTAACTAATTATTAGTCTGGACGATCCCGAGCATCTTCCACAATCGCACTGATTTTTTCGTGGTAGATTTCATAATAATACATTGAAATCTATCATTTTTTTTTAATTTTTTTGCAACCTGGAATTTTGTTTATTTTTTAGCCTTAGTTGCAAAATGAAATATACGACGCACGAGCGTGATATACTGTTACATATTCGGAAAGCTTATGAAAAGAGCATTA